TGCTGCAGTAAATGCTGCTGCTGCTGCTGCTGCAGTAAATGCTGCTGCTGCTGCTGCTGTTATTGCCCGTGCTGTTGTTCGCGGCTCTGCTGCAGCAGCAGCAGCTGCAGCTGCTGGTGGCAGGCAAGAGCAGCTAGCCCCAGGTCGATGGCTTTCGGTCTGGGGTTTAGGGTTTAGGGTTTAGGGTTTAGGAAATCCCACCGCCGGCGCTCTATGTCCCGCGCCTGCTTTTCTTCCTCCGTCAGAACTCCCAGGTGTACAGACACCTGCAGCAAAACTTTCTGCATCGATGCAAGCCCTAAAGTTCACTAAACCCTAAACCCTAAACCCTACACCCTAAACCTTAAACCCTACGGGGTTAGTTAGCTCTTAATCTAGGAAGTGTCTCTTTTTCGCTAGAGTAGTGGAGCCTAAACGTTGCCGGCAGCGAGTTCGCAAACCCTAAACCCTAAACCCTAAACCCTAAACCCTCGCCATCCACACCATCTTGTCGGTCTGCCGCGTTCCGGGCTACGGGGGCGAAAAATCGCCCCGAGGTCTGACTAAATGGAAAAGAAGAACAAAATTAAATTAAATTAAATTAAATTAAATTAAATTAAATTAAATTAAATTAAATTGTTAAAAGCATTTAAAACGCGACTGCTGCTCTCCGCCGCCTCGATCCGCAGTGTCTAGACACCGCAGGGTCACCTGCAGCCCCGCAGACCCGGAGGGCCCCACAAGGGTTTAGGGTTTAGGGTTTAGGGTTTGAGATTTAACAAAATTCTAGCGAGTGTTTCAAAAAGAAAAGAAATTATTTAAAATGGAGCACTTCCCGAGAGAGTCCTTGAGCTGCTGCCGGCAGCAGCTCGGGTGCACAGACACCTGAGCTGCAGCAGTGAAACTCTAGGGTTTGAAGGCCTGCAGCAGCAGATAAGGAAGTAACAAGAAAAAAAGAAGTTTTATTTAATTAAATTTAAACTTTTCCATTCAGAATTTTATTTAAATTTGAACTTTTCCATCCTGAATTCAGCTTGCTGGGGTGTACGTGCACCTCCGGCTGTACACCTCGACGAGCATTAGGTCCTGCTGCTGTCGCTGCTGCTGCTGCAGCTGCTCAATTACAGCTATGCAAGTGCCTAAAAAGCAAATACAGTGCCGCTGCTGCTGCCGCTACTGCTGTTGCTGCTGCTGCTGCTGCAGCAGCAGCAACTCTGTAAAAGCCCTAATTGCACTGGCCCAGCAGCTGCAACAAAACCAGCAGCCCTTTAAACAGCAATTTCAAAAGGGCCTCAAGGCCTGTGCTGTGGGGCCCCAAGAAGTACCGAGGGACCCCTGTGGGGCCCCCCAGCAGCAAAGAGCAGCATTAAGAAATGAACCCAAATCAGGGCCCTGGGGGCCTCCTAGGACCCCCTTCGGGGGGCCCCAAAGGCCCCCTGAGGGGCCCCTCATTGCCCTGGGCTCCTTAGGGGGCCCCTTGAGGGGCCCCCGGGGGCCCCTAGCGTTTCCCAGGGGCCCCTCGGGGCCCCTATGGCCCCTGGGGGGCCCCCAGAATGAGGTATTGAGTGTACTACGGGGCCCCCGGGGGGCCCCCTCTTGGACCCTTGGGGGCCCCCAGGGGCCCCCCTGGGGGCCCTCATAAACTAAATATGCAACCTGAATTGCTTTTGCAAAAAAGGAAGCAGCAAAGAGGTACTTGGGCTTTGCTGCTGCGGCTGCTGCTGCAGCAAAGACTGCAGGCCATTGGCGCCCCAGACTGGCAGCAGCAGCAGCAGCAGCTGCAGCAGTGGAACTTGCTGCAGCCGTAGCTGGCGCAGCAACTCTTATGAAACGAGCTATGGTGCTGCTGCAGCAGCAGCTGAAGCTGCTGTTGCAACAAATGCTGTTCCCGCTGCTGCTGTTGCAGCGACAGTTGCAGCTGCAGAAACTCTTGCTGCTACTGCTTCAGCATGGCACGCTGCCGCAGCAGCAGCAGGAAAGGTTGCTGCAGCAGCAGCTGCAGCAGCTGCAGCAGCTGCAGCAGCTGCAGCGGCTGCAGCAGCAAC